GTGGAAGTGTCATGTTTACCCAGCCCTTAGAAATATAGGTCAGGATGCCTCCAAGGAGGAAGATCCCTGCCCACCTTTGCTGCCCCTGCCTGATTCTAGCCATGCGAGAGATGTGCTTTTTCTCATGACTTCAACAAGTTGCCTGATAGACCTTTCTTTTACTTCCCTCCTTCTTTCCCCTCCTTTTACTTTTCTTCCTCTTCCTTCCTCTATTCTCCCTCCCCCTCCTTTTCCTCCTCCTCTCCTCTCTTTCTCTGTCTCTGTGTCTCTCTTCTTGTAACTTAAATATTTATTCAGCACCCAGTGGACTGTTGTTCCTTTTGTCAGAACCTTTAGTATCTTCCCTGAGATTGAGAACTTGATGGAGTGAAGGGCGTGAGCTAGTGTCAGAGTTCCATGTTGATGGTGGAGTTAAGTAGGGCTGGCTTCCCCTCAGAGATGCTGTCCCTGCTCCAGCCCCCAGGGAATCTGAGTCAGCAGGGATTGCAGCAACCTCACTGCCTGTGCAGTCGTCAGGAAGCTGGTCTCATCTGTGCACCCAGCACAGTGGGTGCTTGCTCCAGGAGGACCCAGGAATCTTGGCTGCCCTATTTCTCCAGTAATGGCCTTTGCTTTCCTTGGATCCTGATACTGCCCCATGACTGCGCAGACCACAGGCAGATGGGGAGTTGCTTTATTTGCAGGATCAGTGAAAAATGAATGGAGATAATGTGCTGCTAGTCACTCCACTGTGTCCCCCGTGGAGGGGTGGAAGAGGAGGTCATGTCCCAGAACTGAGTTCTCCAAGATACCTTAGGCTTCGAATGTCACAGGGGATGTTTGTGGTTTCAATAGGAAGTTGATTTTTCTTACAAAATAATCTCTGTCCATACTTCTTTATTGCCAGTGTACAAAGTAAAATCAGCTTTCTGGATGTTCCCTATGAACCCCAAGGATATCTAGCAGCACTCTGGGTAAACAGCAGGAAAAGACCAAGTTCCAAGATGCTTTGTAAGCTCCACCTTCTGTTGCCATCCCGGAGTTGCTGTGCAGCCTGGGCAGGTTACCAGACACGTTCCTCACAGCCTTACAGGGCCACAGACTCTTCTTCCAAGCAGCCTGCAGCGCCCAGATAAATACCTCCTGGTTTGCTGATCTGAGTGATGCCACAGAATTTGAAGAAAGCCTCTAAGCCAGCAGGACTTAACAACTCCCGCACACTGAAATTCGCTGTCCAAATTGTTCTGGAAAACCAGGATCCCTGAGGGGAAACTTACCTGTCAGGAAAATAGCTGGTACTAGGGTTCGATTCGTTTTGATGAAACTCTTTGTTCCTTCTGATTGTGAAGTGATGCTTGTCCTTCAGAAACCACCTTGTCGTTTCCTTGGCTCCTTTTGGCTGCCGTTTGCTGCTTCCTGTGGGGTGTGTATGCTCAGAGGCTCTTATGGATGAGGCTCGAGGACAAGCTCTGTTCACTTCCTGTAGGAAGTAAGACTGCATTTAAAGGAGGTGGCAACTCAGCATCTTGACAGAGCTAGTCTCCGACAGCCGGGAGCCCTCCTCCAGCCTGATACCTGGGCTTCATACCGGAAGAACCTGCCCTACCTCGGGTGCTGGGGGGAGACTCAGAGAAGAGGAGGGGCCGAGAGCTGCTCTGGGTCTTGCCAAGAAGAAGCTGGAGTCCCAGCCAGGGGAGAGTGGGCTTGTGTGGAAGTTCACGTGGTATCAGAGCCCTAGCTTCATCCTTTTCCATCCCTGATGTATCAGAAAGTTTGAAGGCAAAGTTTCTCCCTTCTGGCTTTGTGCATCATGTGCTGGGCAGGGGATTTTACTTTACCTAATAATATGATGCTGCAGGGCCAGGGATTTAGCTCAGTAGTTCCGCCACCTGCTCCGCAAGCGCAAGGACCCGAGTTCGACTCCTGGTAAAAAAAAAAAAAGAAATTTGGCTCCAATAATATGATGCTACACACTTGGATTGATACAGAATATGTATCCTGCTTATGTCTTTATTGTAGAAAGTGTCAAAAAGATCTAAGTACTTAAGGCATACTCATCTGACTTGTGTTGTAGAGGTAGCTCACCATCATCTTTTGGTTGTATTTCATTCTAACCATGTGCACATGCAAAGATTGTAAATTACAATTAAGGCCCACACTGGACATTTGTTGTCTCTTGCTGCTTTTTGTTCAACAAAGAGCAGAGCTTTTATCCATGGCATTAAACATTTATCAAAAACACTTTTGGGGGAGCCATTACATTCTTATGTAAATTTTTAATTGGTAGTACATTATTTCAAAAACTCAACTGTCATTAAAAAAAAAAAAAGTATTCACAAATAGTCTTAGTTCTAGCACTGTACACCAGCAGCCCAGGCCCAACCCTGCTCGGCACACACTGGCCACCCTTCTTACTGGTATCTTGAATTGCATTTCTATAGCTTTTTGTTGTGAAAACTAACAAATACAGTGGGATATTCTTGCTTCTCCACGTTTGGACCCTAGGTAGTGTCTAAGATCTGTGTGTGCATCCTGCCTTGGCTTCATGCCTTAGTGATCTATCTTTCATAAATGCACAGAGAAACTTACCTTGTTCTTCAAGAGCATGTTTACAGTTTATAAGAAATTCAGAAGATATCTCTTCCTTATCTTACAAAAAGATAGCAGATGAAAAATGAGTCTCTTTTCTTCCATTCTCAATCTTAATCTATTAACAGTGATAGTCACTGTTACTATGTATTACTTATTTTTTCAGAATTTAACTTTCAGGCCTGTAGTCTCAGGAATGTGTGCATACCCACATATACACAAAAAATACATTTTAAAAATTTGTAAATTTTTTACATAGAAATACATAAAACTTTTAATCTGTTTTTATAAATTTTTTACATAAAAATCATCTCATTAGTATGCTGTAATTTCTTGGCCCATTCCTCTGTAGATAGAGCTTTAGAATGTAATATTTTTTAGTTGTCTAAGCCTTAGAAATAGAGATGATTTTCATCATAGATTTTGGTTGGCGTTTTTTATTGTTTCTTCTGGATCAATTTTGACAGTGAGTTCTTAGATCAAAAGATATGGATGTTTTTAGGGATCTTGTACATGCAGTCCCATGGCTTCCTAATACACCATCTTTCTTTCCAGCCATCCATAGGAAAGTGATAGTCAATAGCAGCTGAGTGACACCCAGTCCAGCAAGTCCTTGGACCAGTGACATGTGAGGTCCTAGGAAACTGGGGTTCTAGCTAGCAGGGAGAGAGGTGGGTTTCTCTTCCTTGGGTTTGAAGGAATCCCTCAGTAGCACCTTCGTAGGAAAAGTCTGCTTCCCAGAGCCTCGTTGAACAGCTTGGCTGCAGACATCTGTGAAGGTCTCAGCCTAGGTTACTTCCCCTCTGGCTGCTGTGCACAAGGTGAAAGGAAGTTCCTAGGAGGAACCACCTCAGGCTGGCCATGCAGGTCCTCTGTGTGGTGTCAAGGGTAGGAGAACATCTTGCTTTCACTCCTCAGTAACTGTCAAATTATTATCAGAGTACATGGTTACTGAGGTTTTCCATATTGCCAGCCATTAACTCTGTCCTCTACAAACAGTAACTTATTTTATCTTTATGGTAATGCTGTGTCACTGTTACACCCATTTTATAATTGACACTCGTATACATATTTTACGGAGAAGAGGTTTGCTCAGTGCCACACAGAGCAGAGAAGTGGGGCTGAGCTGCATGGACCCAGGGCCAGGTTCCATCACACTGTTTTCCTGCCCCCAAAGCCAAAACCCTGTTTCTTTGACTGTCCACAGCCAGAATTTCTTGAGAACTTAACCTCTCTTTTATCTTTTTGCTGGCTTTTTCTCCTTCTGTTGAATGGTTTATAGCAGGGAAGACTCTGAAGTTGGATGGGCCCACGTTCATACCCACTTCCTATATATGTGATTATAGGCAAGTTATGTATTACCCTCCTGAGCCTCAGCCTCCACATCTATGAACTGCAGGTAGAACATTTACTCTTAGGGGTGTATGGAGACTAATGAAGATTGTGAATAATCTCAATGTCCTGGTAGTTAAAAGATAGGAAATTAATATTCTCTCTCTTTCCCTCACTACCCCACACCCTTCTTTGTTCCACATGGTTTTTCTTAGTCTTGATACACATTCTTAAAATCCTAACCAATTTAGTTGCAATCAGATCAAAAAAGGAAGCTCATTCCCTGAATGTTAGAATAATATCACCACTTACTGAGCATCTACCAGACCCCTGAATATTTTGTAATCTTCTTTATAAAATAATTGCAAATCCTTGAGTCAGCCCTGAGAATTGATTGCCCTGTGGGGATGGGGAGGAGCCAAGGCTGGGAAGGCAGCTGCTTACTTGAGGTCATGCATCCCATTGGCTGCTTGCTGGCCCTCACACTCAACTTCTACAGAGTCAGTCAGGATCCCCAGGCAGCACTTGTGGACAACCATCATACCACACAGTTCAGTTTCTGTCACCCAGTAATGTTCTCATGTGCCCCTTCTGAGTCAGGAGAAGCCACATTTGGCCTAAGTTGCTCATACATTATAGTGGTGAGCGAGCCATTTTGGGGTAGACAGTGGCCTCAGTGTTTGTGTATTGGGCCTGTCTCTGTGTGATGTTCATCATGGTGACAATGGATATTTTCCCATTGCACATGTGATATCTTGCATCTTAGTTTCTAATTAGTCCTTTATAGATTCACAATTACATGTTTTTACATGCCTGTGATTATCTCAATAGGATTAACTATCTTTTTCTGTAAAAATAATTGAGATCACTCATGGTAGCATATTTTTATTACTCCAGCATTGTAACTAACCATCCCTCCACAAAATCTTTTATTTTCCAGTAACTGTTGTTTCTTTTTTTGTTTTTTTGTGTTGTTTTTTTTACCTCATTCTGAATGGGAAGTGTTAAGGGATCTTTGAGAGGTAAAAATCTTCCATGATTATGCAAACCATTGTAACCATTATGTGTTTTCTCTCTTCCTCCCCTTCTCCTGATGGTAGGTGCCTGGAGATTTGAGTCAAACGTCCGAAGACCAGAGTTTGTCAGATTTTGAAATGTAAGTCCATGACATATGGTTGTGAGGGTTCTTTTGGAAGTAGGACTCTGCTATTGGCATGTGTCCCAGAAGTACCTAGGAGGAAACAGAAATTACCATGAGGTCTGCATAAGGTTGATTTTGTTATTATAGAAGTGTGGAGTTGTTCTCCTGGGTCCTGAGCCTGCTGACCCATTTTAAATTCCCTTTGGATATTTAAAAGCCTTTTGGCTTTAACTGACATTTAAAAGGTATTGTATAAAATTTTAAATTCTAAATTTTTTCTTTGACAGACTCTCGTCTCCCTATAAGGCAAAATTGAGGGGCAACTACCCCTTCACACAGGACATGTGCTCTGCAGTTTCCCACAGTCTTTACTGTCCCCGGCAGCCTCACTCTGGCCCACTTCACCCGGTCCACTATCTGTGTAGCTCGTGGTGTTTGAAGTCACCACCCCTGGCTTAGTGGAAGTACCAGTAGTCAGTGCATCACTCTGAGTATAGACTGGTCTTGACTGTTTTTGTTGCCTTTGCTGATGACCACTAAGGAGGTTGTAAGTCTTCAGACAATATCTGTTCAGGTTACCTTGGCTTTTGGAGAAGTAATCCTCCTAGGCTGGTAAAGTGGGGTGAGTCCTGGGTGACAGGCCAGGCAGAGAACCTCCTTCCTCTCATTCAATTGTGGTGAATAAAAGAAGGGTCAGCCTCCCATCCCTTAAACCCAGGAGTTTGAGGCCAGCCTGGGCAACCTAGTGAGAGACCTTGTCTCAAAGAATAAAAAAACCCAAATAAATTAAGTCCAGGTTATTGATGAGAAGGAGTCATCCAAGAATAGCTGCTTCTGGGGAAAGTAGGGCAAAACATTAGAAAGAACATTTTCTCACAGCCATGTCAACCTGCTTTGAAATCTGTCACTGAACTCACACCAGTAGATCTTGGGCACACCACTTAACCTCTCTGGAACCTAATTTCCTCACTCTTAAGGGTAAGGTGGTCCTGATACCAGCTTTGCAGAGCTGTGGAGGCAGTGTGAGTGAGCTTAGGAAAACCACAAAGGCATCAAGAGGCCTCTCAGTGTTGGGGGGCTGCCCTGTAGGTGGGATGGATGACTGCCAAGTGTGAGGGAAGGGTGTAAGTCGCAGGAGGGTTTGCCTCCAGGGGGCCTGTGGACACAAGGACTGTAGCATCTAGAGGCTGTGAGGATGGCAACATGTGGAGAACACTGGTGGGAGCAGTTGGGAAGTGAGGTGGGAGCTGTGGAGAGTAATGCCAGAGACAAGTCACTTGTGAGGCAGGAGAGGCTCATCATTGACCTAAGTTTCCCAGGTACCTAGTGCTAGTGCAGGCAAGCATCTGGCTAGGTCCTTGACGGAAGAGAAGACTCGGCCACTCCATCAGTAGAGTGCCCCGTAGTAGCCTTTGCTTGGCCCGTGCCACCTCCTCTCTCTCCAGAAGCCTGGAACTTCTTCTCACTGGTTTGCTCGTGTATGCCAAAGCCAGAAGGACACACTGGCGCCATCGCGCTCTCTCAAGACAGACACTAGGGTCCATCACGGATCTTACAACAGAGGCCCTCATGGATCTTGGGCTCCATCTCCACCCCTTTCCTCTTCCCCTCCCCGCACACCAGCCACCCTGCATTGCCCTTGTACTCACACACAGCATTTCCTCCATGCCGGGTCCTTTTCTAACTCTCTCAGGCCCCACCCCAGTCTCCAAGGTAGATCTTGTCTCACAAATGATGGATTTGAGCTGAGACCCACACTCGGGTGGTTCTGATGTAGAGGGTGGACTCTTCCCAGATGTGCGTTCCCCTGCCCAAAGCACCCTTCCCAGCCTCAGCCTCAGGCTCCTCTCAGTGTGGCAGGCTCTCCTCAGAGCCCCGGCCAAGCATCGCTTCCCAAGGGAGCCTGGTCTGACAGCAATGCCTGCTCGGCATTCACTTTCCTTAGACCTAGTGTCCCTGGGCGACACTGTAAAACAATGGTAATTTAATATTTCCTGTGATTTAAGTGTATATGCACTTATCAGAGCTTCAAAACATATGTGATGATTGACAGAAATGAAGGCAGAAATTGACAGTTCTTCAGTAATAGTTGTTATAGACTTTAGTCCCCAACTTTTAATAGAACTAGACAGAAAATCAGTAAGAAATGAAATCGAACAATACTGTAAACCGGTTAGAGACAGCAGATGCTTATAGAGCACTCCACAAATTACTGCAGAGTACATACCTGGGGTTAGTCAGCTTTCTGGTACTATAACAAAACAGCAGTCTGCTTATAAAGAAAACAAGTCATACAAGGCTGGTGTTGCGTGCCTGTAACCCTAACACCTGGCAGATTGGGGCAGGAGGGTCACAAGTTTGAGGCCAGCCTGGGCTACATGGTAGGGTTGAAGGAGGGAGAAAATGTTTATTTTGCCTCAGAGTGTTGGGGTTTTAGTCCTTGGTTGGTTGGACCTACTGCTTCTAGGCCTGTGCTAAGACAGCACATCACAATGGGGAGCCTATGGTCGTAGAGCAAGCTGCCTACCTTATGGCATCTGGGAGGCAGAGACAGCTTGGAAGAGACCGTGGCCTCGCATTCCCCTTTGAGCACATGCCCCCAGTGACCTAAACCCTCCCACTAGGCCCCACCTCTTCAAAGCTCTCACCACATCCCAGTCATGCCATGCTGGGGAATGAGTCCTCAGCACATGGACTGTTGGGGAACTTTCTAGATTCAGACTGCAGCAGCAGTCCTCCCGAGTGCCCACATCATTCTCCAGGATAGACTGTATGTGAGCCACAGAACATGACTCAGGGTATTTTTGAAAATTGAAATCACACTAAGCATCTTTGAACATCTTTGTTTCATATTCTCTCTCATGTTACACTGCGTGCTCCTGAAGGAAGGGACTGTGTCTGCCTTTTCTAACTTCTTTGTCTCTGGTACTAAAACTATGGCTGGCACATAGTAGGTTCTGAATAGATTACTGCTTAATGAATGAATGAGTGAACAAACAAAAGAACGAACAAAGTAACATGTAAGGGCAGGTGGTCATGGAAGCAGTCGTTCTAATACAGTGTGTAGTAAATGCCCTGAAAGAAGTCTTCAGTTGGTTTGTGTGTGTTGTGTGTGTGTGTATCTGGTGAGTTATAAGTTAAATTTTGAATCATCCCATAAGATAAAACTGTCACATAACCCAGGGAGCCATTGTATATACTTTAAATAGCCCATATCAGAGATTAAATGAGTTAATACAGGTGAAAACATTGAACCATGCATTGTAGGTATTCAGTAAATAATTTTACATTTTGTTTGTTAGGGTTTTTTGGTGCTGGGAATCAAACCCAGGGCCTCATGTATGCTAGACAAATGCTCTATCACTGAGCTACATCCCCAACCCTTGTATTTGTATTTAAATCTTACTTTATTAGACTCACCTACACATTACTTTTGGAAAAGTCCAAAGAGAGGGGGTATTTACAGCTGCTGTCCTGGTTTTCCAACTTCTCATTTCCCATTATCCTTCCCCCCACAAACCCCAAGAGTCTCCTGAGCTCTGTTGTGGACTCACCTTTGAAAATGGGGGTTTGGATCACAAGTTAGTGCAGTGAACAGGCAGTGTGGCTTCCCGGGGTGCTTCAGAAACTGGGCATGACTGTGCCTGGCCTCCCATAGCTCCCCGTCATTGTTCTTTCATCAGAAGTGGAAACTGAGATTCTCATACATTATAGGCGAAGGTCATTCAGCAGGTAACAACTAAAAGGCAGTTCTTTCTATTCTAGAGTATACACTGCATGTCATTCATATGTGTGTGTGTGTGTGTGTGTGTATAACTGAATCCCTTCAAAATTGTCTTGGGGCTGGATGGTAAAACTTGCCTTTTAGCTTTCTATTAAGTATTACACTGGTTGTATAAATTGTTCATGCAGAAAGATCCTTGCAGGAGAAAATTCTTTCTTGCCCTGTGTTTTGTTTTGTTTGTAAGTAAAAATGACCAATTTTGATCTTTTTCTTTTGGTCAGATCAAACCGGGCACTGATCAATGTCTGGATCCCATCAGTGTTTCTCCGTGGCAAAGCAGCAAATGCATTCCACGTTTATCAGGTAAGCACCTGGTTTTCAGGTAGACCTCAAAGCTGGATGGAAGGCACTCAGTTGTTAAGCCATGCTGTGCTACCCTTTATGGTGGGAGACTGTACCTAGGAGGAGGTAGGAGGCTGCAGCCTTCCAAACACCAGCATTTTTTTTTTTTTGGTACCAGAGATCGAACTCAGGTCCTTGCGCTTGTGAGGCAGGCGGTGGAACCACTGAGCTAAATCCTCAGCCCTCAAACCACCAGCATTTTAACTGCCCACCTTCCTCAAGGAAGGAGTTGTGTACCTTCAGTCTGACAGGAGGAACAGGACGTGAGATGAAATTACCTTGTGCCAGCCGACTCTTGGTGTGGCCACAGCACAGACTACTTGAGCAGAAGTGGAGATTTATTGGCTTGTGTTGCAAGCAAGAATCTAGAGGAGGTTAGACTTCAAGCATGCTGACCTTGTGGTCAGGAACCTGCTACCGTTTCTTCTTTCTGCTGCTGTCTCTTCTTTCTGTGCTCAGTATCCTTGGTGGGCAGTTTGGAGGCTGACAGTTTCCAGCGGTGCTAGCCTCTCAGCCTAGCTAGAGGGTTTCAGTGATATTCTGGGTCGTGCCTCATGAGTCTGTCTTGGATTTTGAGCCCATTCCTGAACCCTGAGTTGGGCAGTAGACTTCTGTGGCTGGCCCACTTGGTTCCACTTGGTGACCATCACGGGTGCTAACTTCACCTGACCATATGTCTGAGTTATAGCAGGGAATGTTCCAGATGTTAATGAGGGCACTCTTCAAAAGAAGGGGCAGTGGATACCCTGGACGATTTAAGACTTCAGCTATCTCCTCTGCTTCCTTGTGGTAGAGGTGGACACCCCCAGCTGGGACTTGAGTGTCTAGGTCTGTGTAACCTTTGTCTTCTTTGGAAGTGACTTTGTAACAAGGATCCCAGTTTTTCTTCTCTCATTTTCTGATTCTTCTTTCAACGCTGCCCACTTCCCTGCTGACCTTTCTCTTTTTTGCCGTGGATTCTGATTGCCAACCCTTGTTTCCTCTTGTTCTGGAATTGCTCATGTCGGCATGAACGCTGAGGTGTTTCCTGCTTCCGCTGTCCTTTGAATCACAGTAGTTTTCATTAAGTTTAGTTTTGACCCACCTGAACCCTGTGAAAAGCCTAGGTTTTCTTGCCATTTTTTTTAGTGAGGAGTGACCCACTGTAGAAGTCTTCTCAGCTTGAAGACATTCTTCATAGAGAGTGGGATGGTGAAAAAAGACACTGACACTGAAAATAGGAACTTTGGTCTCAATCTTGTGACCTTAGGTCAATCTAGATTCTTCATCTGTGAAATGGGAATAATACATATCTTATAAAGCTGTTATACGTGTCTTACACAACGGCAGTGAAATTAGAAATGTGTAGCACATGGTAGACACGCATTCTTGCCAGCCTTCCCAGATGGTCACTCTGTTTGGTCTTAGATATAAGCATGATGTCTGTATGTAACTTAAGATCTTATGGACAGATGAGTTAGTCTGATGTAAGAAAGTCATTTTATTTGACATACTCAGCTGGGCAACAGTAGCACTTTAATAAGTAGTAAGAGAACCTGAGTGTTTATGATGCTCTCAACTGTGGTTTTAAAAGAGAATTAAATATGCCAGATTCCCAGAAATGAACTTTCTCTTTTCATCTAAAGCCAAACCAAACCAAACAAATAAACACAAAATAAAGCAACCCAAACAAAAGCCTCTTATTGAATGCCCTTCAGATCTGCTTTGTGGTCCTCAGAAAGCGGAGAGGCTGGCTGGAGGATGAAAATAGTGAAACAGGTTTTAAAGCAAAATTAGAATGTGGTAACCCTGGAGAGGTTTCCTTGACTTTTTAGTTTTGACCTCTTCCTTCACCTCATGAAGCCATTTGGCAGTTTTCAGTTTCTGAAAGTCAGCTCTGCTGTGAGGTAGACACAGCAAATATGATGTTGCCTGTGGGACAGTCACAATGATGGCCGTGACGGCGTTAAAGCCACTGTCTCCCTGCCCTTCACTATTTGTAGAGCTTTCCAGGCCCTCCCCAGCCAGTGCACCCAGGATGTGGCCTAGAAGTTAGCAGCCACATCACCTGGAGCAACTTCTGCCTATGCCACAGGCCTCCTGAGTCTTTCCCCACGCTGGAGTGAATAGAGTCATACCACTTGATGCATCCTTCTTCCCTTTTTAGCTGACAGGGTTTCTTGTTGGTTCCTCAATAGCAAAATCTGAGTCCTGTTTTAGACGCCTTTTAAGAAGGCTTTGTTATAATATTTTGTTATATAACTGATATTGGATAGAAGGTGACTCATTTAAATATTGGCACCATGGGGCTGGGGATTTAGCTCAGTGGTTCTGCTGCCTGCCTCGCAGGCGCAAGGACCTGAGTTCAATCCCCGGTACCAAAAAAAAAAAATATATTGGCACCATTGGAAATTTTTTAAAGGATTTTTTTAAATCCATGCTATGAAATTCCACAGGATTTTAGGTGATTTCTAAAGAAATTCTATAGAAAAGAATGGTAAAAGAAGTCAGTCATAAAATATAAACTAAGAGTTTAAGAAGAAAATGTGGAAACCATATTTCCCATGCAATAAAATGTGGTTTTCATTGACTTGTAAACTTCCTAAGGGCTTCCTTACAGCCAATGTGAAAATGGAAATGTGATTATTTTTGGATAATTCCATTGTTGATGACAAGAAAAGATGTTAATTCCTGAAAAGGAGCTCTAGAAGAAATCTCCACGTAGAATTTTAGCTTCAGCATATAAAGGATATACATAATAGATAGTCCTTATTTACATCTCCATGTCAAGTCATTGTCCAATTTCAAAAAGTCTCCTTGGAGAGAAGCCAAGGGCATAACTGCAAAAGGAGCAGAAGTTTCTTTGAAGAGTCCAGACATGGAGCTTTCTCAGGAGGGCTGTGCTACCCAGCACCACTCCCATTAGCCATATGCAGATATTTAAATTTAAATTAATTAAAATAGAATAAGACAAAAGATTCAGTTCTTTGGTCACACTAGCCACATTTAGGTGCTTAATAGCTGCATGTGCTGGTGGTGGCCATGTTGGATGTCAGGAATGGCACCACCTCCACCAGTGTGGAAGATTCTATGGGCAGTGCTGCTTAGAACCAGCTGAGCAGGCATGGGAGCAGCAAGGTTCTCTCCAGTGGTGGACACACCTGTGGGGAGAGGGCCCTTCCTCTCTAGCACTGTCCTTGCCTCCAGTTACCTGGAGGAGAGGACTCAGCCTTATACCATCTGATCTTTTCCTTTTCGGAAAGAAACACAGACCGAGAATCGTCACCTTTGGCCAGCAGAAGTCTTCAGTTTACATTGTTTTGTGTTCAGTATATTTATTTTTACACTTGCCTTCTAGTTATGACGTCATTCTATGTTCCCACTTACCATGGTGATGTACGGTTCTCTTTTAAAATAATTTTAAAGCAAAAGGGAAATGAGTCAGCCTAAAGAAAAATACCAAATAAACAATAATGAAAACTGCAAAAAAGTCAAGGATGTTGAGCTATGGGGAACACTGATATAAAGGAACAAATATACTGTGACTAAAAATTAATAATAATTATAAGCTACAGCTTCCTCTTATTGATTTCTATGTGTTATGTTAAATAGCTCATTCATTTCTGGAAGCAACTCTGTTAGGTGAGAAACTCAAATTATTATTTTATGGACGAGGAAACAAAGACAGAAAAGCATCTCATTCGGTAATATCTGTTCTTAGTGATTTTTGAACAATTTGAGAAATTTTATGTTTCTGAGCGAAGGTAGAGTCTACTAGTTCTTTGACAATCGTAGAAACAGCTGGGATGGTTGCCTTCATTGGGAAGGGAAAGGTCCAGCTTGGTCAAGGTGTTGCCCACATGGACAGCCACATGCATCACTGAGATGGTGGGCAGAGAGTGAACCTGCAGCCATGCCTGGAACTTTCTGTAGGACAGCTCTGGGGCCTCTGGCATGCACAAACATGTTACCCATCTAGCCGTCCAACTCTGAAAACTGTCTGAAATAGTTTTTCCCTGAAAAGTTGTCGAAGCAGGTGTGGGCCCATGGTGATTAGCTGGATGTAAGAGGGCTTCAGGGATGCTCCCTCGGGGCACCTTGTTTGATCAGTGTCTTGTTTGCCTGCGGGGATGTCTTGAAGGTTATACTCCTTTATAAATGCCTGCGAGACTGAGATAATTCGCCCGTAGCATCACTAACTGCTGGGACTGCTGGAGAGGTCTGGCATTGCATTCAGCAAAAAGAACTTTAGCAAGAAATGGTGTTTATTGACCAGATTGAATACATGCTATTTAAAAAGTGCTTGTACTCCTGTGTCCCCAAAGGAGACAGGGTGTGTTCCACACATGCTAAAAGTAAGAAGTGGCAGCATTTGACCAGTTTTCAGTACAAAAGTAGCATTGATATCTGGAGTCTTTCCAATGAAAGTTTGAAAGTCTTCATGAATAAGTATTTCATAGGCTTTTGGGCTGCTAATGCTTGGCCTCCAGCTGGCACTGACGAGAGATAAAATGAAGAAGCAGCAGAAAATACAATGGAAACCAAAACAAAACTCAGGCCTTTACTTTGTATTGCTCAGGTTTTCTCGCTGTTACCTGTAACACAGAGGGAAAGGTTTTCTATCACTTCCATACAACATAATTATTATTTATCAATAAATTTCTAGCTTACACTTTTGAAATATATGATGTTATTCTTCAAATACCCTACTTCCAAACATTGGAGCTCTGTGTTAATATCCAACTGAAGTTTTATAAAGGTATCTTAGACTTTAAAAACTATCCACCTACTTTTTCTCCAGCAAATGTTGTTATATCTGCTAAATTGGAGTGAAATAATACATTAGCACACTTAATTTCTGAGCCCTTAGGTCTTTCCCTTAAAAAAGTTCCTTTAGTGTAAGTACAGTAGGATTCATTTCCACCTTTGAATTTAGCCACCAGGAAACTGTTTGGACAGTATTGTTTGCATAGAGAACTAAT